TTCTTTTATTAAAATATTTTATTCCAAATTTTCCATTGGGGGAATGAATAATTAAAGAAATTTATGTGCTTAGAACTTAAATTCCACACCTTATCTGCTTGAGTTGAACTCTCTTTCTTAGCTTGAGTCATGTCAAATGATTGTTGCTATGCATGTTTAGAAACAGCATAATTATTAATATTATTTACATAAAACAACATTAAATAATAAATTTAAGTTTTAGTCACATAAGCTTTATTCACTCAGTTAAATCGAGTGTTAAAAAAAAAAAAAAACCACAGCACTTGGCCGTAATAGGGAATTATAAAAATATTAATTGAATGGTCACATTTATTGTGAACAGATATCTTTTTAACGGAGATAATCTTATTCGATACACGTTTAACACTAATTATGAGCACTCTTTCCAGTTCTAATGAGGATTCTCAGCGAGTTTTAATTTTTGCAATACTGCCGTAAAATATAAATAAATATATTTGAAATTCCTTTGCTCTAAACAGATCATCTGCTGAACCAATCATCATCTCATGTATTCCAATAATTCTTTAGTACTATTTTTATAATAAACCATGATACATTATTATTAGAAGGAATTAATCAATACAGTATAATTTAATTGTTATTGAACTTTACAGTAGTTAATTTTTTTATATGAAATTTCAATATAATTTTTTTCTTATTATCATCATCATCCCTCTTAACGATTCTTAATTATTTGTCAGCGAGTGTATGATCTGGCTGGAATATTAAATTGAAAGAAAGATGAGTTGATAAATGAATTGTTGAACACATGGTTGCCAAACTCTTTAGGTAACTTTTTGAATTTAATATTTTTATATTTTTAATTTATAAATTATATTAATTTATTTATAAACTCAAATTAAATATAAATTTAGTTAAACTCACAAGTTTACCATTTTATGTTTTTAACTTATAAAATCATATCAACTAATTTATAAATTTAGATTAAATATAAATTTAGTTAAACTTGTTAAACTCATCAATTTATTATTGAGTTGAGTGAGTTTAGTATATATTAGGTAGAACTCAATTTATAGAAGTGATAAGGGTTGGTTTAAAGGGGAAAAAAAAACTTAAAAGCAAAAATAATATTAATAAAAAAATATCAAAAATAAGTTGCTTTGTTTTGAAATTTCTATATTGTATGATAATCTATCAATATAGATAGATTTAATTTTAATGATTTGTATTTAAAATATATTTAAATTAAATTATGATCATATTTAATTTTATATTTTAATTATTTAATTATATATTATTAATAGTTATTTATTAATAGACGTAAATTTTTATAAGGTAAAAATTTATATTTATATTCTTATCATGAGTTTATTAAACTTATGAGTTTAATAACCTTAATTACACACACGTGCACACACATGGTAGGTTAGGTTATTAAAAATCTCGAAAACATGTAGGTTCAATCGAGTGAAAAATTAGTTGACGTGTACATGTAGGTGTTATCATATGTTGTATTAATAATTAATCTATCAATCAAAGTTTAAATCAAATATACACCGATGAAATAATTATAATGATTTGAGAGTTTAAAGGGGGACCATGAGAGGATTACATTGCCTCATAAAAAGTATTAAAAATCATATTGATCATTAAATTGGTTAAGATATTAATTTAAGAATTGATAGTCAAAATCATAATTGAACTGATCAAATCAATCTTAAACTAAACATTTTATTAAACTAGTCAATATACTGCTTTAACAATTTATCAATTTAATTGAGCAGATTAACATAAATTTTTATTCTATGATCTCAAGTATAAGGGCATCTGGGACCAAGGATGTTATATAATACATTCAAATTTAATTATTGGATAGGTGGGTTCATAAATGTTAAGTAATTTGCAGCCAATAGATCTACCGATTTGCAGCCAACAGCCCTTCCCCTTGACCCACCGCCACTCTGTTCCATTTTATATAAGATTTTTTTAAGTGATTTTTGTAATATAATATATTTTTTAAAAAATAATGATCTATTAATAAAGTTTATTTCAAAATTATCCATTATTTCATTCCTTAAATATTTTTCTTTCTTTCTCTTGTTAATGGATAATATTTTTAGAAGTTTATATTATTTTAAAAAATTGAGATTTCAAATTGTATTTAATTGACTTCATTTATACTCATAATTTTATCAAAATACGTCTTATATCGTTTTGAAAAAAAAAAATTTGTAAAATCAGAAAAGTGTAGAGTAATTTAGATTTATCAACAATAGTGGTTGGATGTAGTTTAAAAAAAAAAACTCTATCGCAAATAGAGTTATTTTTAATTGGTCTTTATTACATTCAAATATGATTTGATAGTATTGAATATTATATAATTTTATAAAAAATAATTTAGATGTATCAATATTGTAATTCATGATACTAATGAAGCAATATATATTAAGTAAATAACTCTATAATTGGGAATGATTGATGGTACACCAGAAAGAAAGGAAAAATGGGTTGAATGATTTTGTTGCCTCACCAACAATCAACCACTCAGCATCGGCATATAATTTAACTGCTTCACTATATTATTATGGCCCCTTTTTTTGGGTATCCCTATAAAAAATAATATTTATTTTCTCTATTTTATAACATATTATCTATTATTGGCCCCTAATGTGTAAAAATAAATTACTCCCTCCATTTCAAATTATAAAATATTTTTTAAAAAAAATTTATTATTTTAAAATATAAGACACTGTGATGAAAATAATATTTCATTAATAACATTTTTTTAATATTACCTCTCATTATATTTTTTTAATATTCTTTTATAAACAGAGTATTAAATTCAGAGCATTTTTAAAAGATTATATTTTTATTTTAAAAATAAAACTATAAAATATATTTAATAAGCTTTATCAACATATGTAGTTTTGTCTAAAAGGATTTTATAATTTGAAATTGAGAGAATATAAGACATAAAAATAGCATTTTTTTTATAAATTTCATGTTTTAGTATTAAATATTAGTATTGATTGTTTATTATGCATTTTTATAACTTTAAAAGAAAATGTCTCATTTTTATTTTATTATTTTTTGTCGATATCAATATAAAATTTCACTCATTGTCATGAATTATATAGAAATTTTAACACTTTTAATATTAACTGTCATAACAAGACTTCAATATTTTTATAAAAATTTTGATAAAACTTCCCCTATAAATAGAATCTCTAAAAAAATTTACAATGAAATTTTTTCAAAAAATAGTATCAATCAGTAGCTTAACTCTTTTTAGCCAATAATAATATATGAATTAAAATAAAATCCTAACAATAATCTACATAGAGCAACTAATCTTTCTTTTAAATCAAAAATATATACGACTTAAATATTTACATCAAGAAATAACAATACCAAACAAAATTTTCACCCAATGTAACTATACCGTCCTTCAAATATCAGTGGTGGGATCAGTATCAGTTAATAAATCTGAGATCAAAATAAGTTTTTCAGTAAATAGTATTCTCAAAGCAGAATTTGAAAAAAAAAAAATAAATCAATAAACTCAAGTAATGGTGTAAACTAATTAAAAAGATAATAATTCAACATAATAAATTTACAAGTCTGTAAATCATAACCATAATCGTAAAACAGGAGTAAATTGAAAGAAAATTATTTTATCATGCTTTAAAGAAAATAATTTATTCACACATAAATCAAAGTAATATGCTTGTTATCCAAAATCATTGAAGTTTCAAAAACACATATTAGTCAAAATTTAAAATTTTAAGAACTCAACAGAACAAGTAACAAACATAGATACACAATCGATGAGAGTAGATAACCAAACACGGCCTATGCCACGAAGACAAACATGAACATACAGTCCACGAGGATAAGTAACCAAATGCAACCGAAGCCACAAAACAAACATGGATATACAGTCCACAATGGTAAGAAACCAAACATGAATCAAGGCCATGAAATCAAACATGGGTATAAAGCCCACCAATAACAAACGTGTGATCAAAACCTACAAGGCAAACTAGCTAGTTTTTAATCACAATGCTTTATGGGCTAACAGCACTGCCGTTAGCAGCATTGTTTTATTTAGAGTCCTCTTAAAAATCACATTTCAAACATGCAAAAAAATAATTACTTCTAAAATACAATTTATATTTTCAATATCCAACTTGCATGAATCATTTCAAATATCAATTTAATACTTATCGAAAATAATATGACATAATTACTGTTCAAGTTTGCATTAATTGAATAACCAAACATTTATAGAGTTTAATAAATAAAATAATTTTATAAATCTTCAAAATATATTTCTTGAGAAAATAAATGCACATATCATCATCTAATTATCTATCACCAATATTCCATAATTTTCAAAACTAATGTAATTTATAAGAGTAAAATATTTCAATAAAAGTATATTAAAAATAAGAATAAATTAAAGGAGATGCTATTCACTTACACATCAAAGTTTAAATTTTTAAAGGTATCATTCTTTTAATTTTTGTCAGGATCCTGTTATCAGGATATAAATAAATAAAATTTTTAATATATTTTTAATCTTTAACATTATTCCAAATTTTTCATTATCATCTAAAATTTAAAATCAAATTTATGATTTAAAGTTAGTCCATGCATTATCATTCATATCACTAATTCCCTTCATATATCTTTAACCGTACCACTCTATTTATTTGAGGTAAAATTTTCTTAAACCTTGCACCAATTACTTTAAGTGCCTAATTCTAACCATTCAATTGAAATATCCAGCAATTTGCCATCTACTATATAAATCCCAAGAATTAATAAAACTTCAAAATATCAAAAATCAAATTTAATTCTTCTAATAAGCATTTCAACAATCAGACACCAATATTTAATTTATATATCTAAATTATTTCCTTCCAACTTTTTTTTAATAATTTCTTTGACATAAATCACTTCAAATAAAATCTATTTAGCTCCAAAGTTATAATCCCATATCCGTATATATATATATATATATATATATATATACACACTGTCAAGCTTTAGAATAGGTCTCTATTTCCATTATGAGTCTTCTCCCTCCTTCAACAGCACAGCAGCAGCAGCAGCAGGGGGCATAAATTTTACAGCTTCAATAACCAATCACATACATGCAAACTAAGAGAAGACTGAAACATGAAGATCCCTCACCTTACCAGTGCCAATGACTGAGAACAAGAGAACACGTTGGAACTTTATGGCTGAACAGGGCAGAAATAATTTGAGCACTGCCACCACGCACAACAAATGGAAGAAGGCTAATTCAACAGCACCAACACGATCTGACAGCAACAACCCCCCAGTTTCAATGCTTTGTGATTTCTCGGCCAGAATAACATGGACAAAACAGCACACAGAGCAGACGCAAAAACAGGGAGCACAGGAGGAAAGGAATAACGAGGCTTACGGCTGAACTGGGGAAGGAAGAACTCACGAGTAAAACCTTCCAGCTCCAAAAACTTAGTATTTTATTCCATCCATAACTCGAACGTGAATAAAACAGGAAAAGCAACAGACCGAGAAAGAAGGGAAAAAAAAAAAAAACAGAGTTAGAAGGCCTGAAGGTGCACCTGAATGTTGCTGAGCAGTGGCGAGTCTCCTTTGTTGCTAGTGATATCAAGGAACGAAGAAGGAAGAGAAAGAGGTCGGTGATGGCAGAGAAGTAGAGAGCAAGATTGAAGACTCCAGAATTCTCTGCAACACGTCTCGACAAAGAAGAAGGAAAGGGAAAATTTATCCGATGATAGGAAGGGTATAATGGTAATTTCATCGAGCTAAATTTACAAAAACAAACCCCTTCTATTTGTGCTTCAATAGGTTCTCGAACCTAACCCCTTTTGCACAGTTCCAGTGCACCAGCTTTGCTTCTTAATATGTTTGTCTCAATCTTAATATAATTACCATTAAAATACGACTTATATATTTATTTATTATTATTATTATTATTATTATTTAGGTTATTACACGAATTTCACCCTTAATAAAATAGTTACTTACTTTTAAACTGATCATATCTTTTTATATTTACTCCTATTAAACACCATATGATAAATATAAAGTGATTATTAATATGGACACTTAAAAAAAAAAGACTATAATTATACCTTGAAAGATTAAAAATGTCTCATATTTTTTAATATCCAACTTTTCAAAAAATATCTTACATTTTTGAATAGATGAAGCATGGAATATACAATGTTAAGTCTTATTATCTTCATTTCTCAATTCCAAATGATGATATGGTAAAGTTCATCTTTTTTTTATTATGTACAATAAATATTTTACTAGAGGTCATTTATTCAAAGCACGATTGATCACTAGATATACTGCCTCTTTGAATAGGAGAATTAATCAATTTTTTGGGGCAAAATCATGGTTTGAATGAAACTTACACAATCAGCAAAAAATTGTGCTAATCCATTATTGAGGCTTAATCATGTTAGCTTTAGCTTCCATAAATCGATTCTGTACGTTCAGCTTTAATCATGTATCAGAAATTTTTAGATACCATATGTTCGTAAAAAACAAACAATTAAGGCGTGGTGTTGCAAGACGTGCCAAAGACGCGGGGTCTCAAGAGGATGGAAAAACCTGACTTCTAATCAAACGCGGGGAACTTGGGCTCCCTTACCACAGTTAACCCGAATGTGAGAATACGAAGTAAAGAACACTAACGGAGATGCAGAAAAGCAAAGATGCATTAATTAAAGAAATAGGTGGTGGGCTATGCCGGCCATACAATGAAAAGTAAAGACTTTTTTACATGATAAAAAAAGTAAAATAAAGCAGCAAACGTGGAGTCGGAGACTGATAGTTTGTTAATGCTGATCATGATTGTTGAGAGAGAGCTCCTCTATTTATAGATGATCCTAGCTCGGTGCCTAAGTCCCATAATTGCCACTTTCCTTAAATTTAGGAAGCACTTTCTCCATCATGTTCACTTATCATGGGTGATAGTCTTGACTTAATGGCTAAGACTTCATAAATATTCTTTTTTTTTCATATAATTATTTTAAAGCCAATTAAGTTAAGTTAGGTCAGGGCTTCCATATTCACAATTTGGGTGCGAACAATGCCCCCCACATATAAATTAGCCAGAGTCTTTGTAGGCCAATTTTGTATGGATATATCTTGAAGGACCGGCTCATTCTTGTTCTGATTAATGGTTGATCCAATACTTTTCTTGAAGGGCACCCTTGTGATTGAGGATTAAGGACCATATGATCTAGTTTAGGATCAAGTTTCTCAAAGTTTATGACCTCAAGAGCTGGTTTTAGAATTGGCCCTTTGAGTTTTGGACTTTAAGGACTGATTTTATAAATTTTAGCTATTGCAAGGCGCCTGTGAAGAGAGCCTTTATGGTTGCGGCCCTTGTGATGCTAGCCCCTTGGTTGCGGCCCCTATGACTTTGGCCCTAATGGTGCTGGCCTCGATAACTTCAGCTCTTATGACTCCAGCCCCTCGGGTGTTGGCTCCAATGGCTTCAGCCCCGATGGTGCTGTCCCGGATGACTTTGGCCCTTGTGACTTCGGCCCCTCTAGTGCTGGCCCAATGGCTCCGGCCTCGATAGTGCTGGCCTCGATGACTTCATCCCTTGTGGCTCCGGCCCCTTTAGTGCTGGATCCAATGGCTTCAGCCTCGATAGTGCTGGCCTCGATGACTTCGGCCCTTATGGCTCCAGCCCCTCTGGTGCTGACCCTAATGGCTTCGGCCCCGATGACTTCAGCCCTTATGGCTCCAATCCTTCTAGTATTGGCCTCAATGGCTTTGGCCTTCTTGACTTCAGCCCTTGTGACTCCGGCCCCTCTGGTGCTGGCCCTAATGGCTTCGGCCCCAATGGTGCTAGCTTCAATAACTTCAGCCCTAATGGCTCCGGCCCCTCTGATGCTGGCCCCAATGGCTTTAGCCTCAATGATTTCGGCCTTTGTGATCGAACGAGCCTGCTATTGAATTAGACCTACCATTTATCTTTTGAGGGATGTTATAGCAATCCTCGTTATTGATATTTTGGTCGAATGGCACTTTGGGAGACTGCCCCCTGAGTTCATCTGTTCTTTGAAGATGTTAGCCAATCGGAGCTTGCTCCCACGATGGTCTAGCTAGCATAGCAGAGACGTTCCTTAGGCCCTCCTTCAGAGTTTGCAACAAAGCTCTTTATCACTCATTGACTCATACTTCACGTTCTTCATGTGCAGCCACGTTCTCTGAGTTGTAAGATTCAGGTCTATTCTTTCCAACAACATATTGATCTTTATGTGTCCTAGGCATTTCTTTTACACGAGTCCCACTGGACGTGCCAAAAATTGTTTGTAAAAAACAAACAATTAAGGCGTAGTGTTGCGAGGCATGCCAGAGATGCTAGGTCTCAAAAGGATGGAAGAACTTGATTTCTAATCAAACACGAAAAACTCAGGCTCCCTTACCACAGTTCATCCGGATGTGAGAATGTAAAGTGAAGAACACTAATGGAGATGTAGAAAAGCAAAGATGCATTAATTAAAGAAATAGGTGGCGAGCTATGCCGATCGTATAACGAAAAGTAAAGACTAAACTACATGATAAAAAATTAAAATAAAGTAGCAAACACGGAATCTAAGACTGATAGTTTGTTGATGCTGATCATGATTATTGAGAGAGAGCTCCTCTATTTATAGATGATCTTGGCTTGGTGCCCAAGCCCCATGATCGCTATTTTCCTTAAATTTAGGAAGCACTTCCTTTATTATGTTCACTTATTATGGGTGATAATCTTGACTTAATGGCTAAGACTTCATAAATATTCTTTTTTTCATATAATTATTTTAATGTCAATTAAGTTGAGTTAGATCAGGGCCTCCATATTCACAATTTGGGTGCAAACACCGTATGTATCCTTGACTCATGATTATCTCACTATGAATTGCCTTCTATTTTGCTTTTTTTTTTTTTCCTTCTTGAAAAATGTGTGAGAACTCCAGGCTTTAGGGGCAACTTTTTTTTTTTAATAACCTCCAGCTACAAATTCAACTAATATGTTATATATTTATACTAAAGAAAAAATATTAAATATATATTATTTATATATATATATTTTTACATACATTAAATTATTAATATTAATATAATTTAAATTTACATAACAAATCAGATATTAAGTTGAATAGTATATTTTACTTGTTAAATAAAATCAAACAAATTTAATAATACATACAACTTTATTAATATTTTAATTTTTAAAAGAAATGTTCTTTATGGTATTTTATACATCTAAAATTAATTTTGATTAAATTATCTAAATATTTATAATTCTTTAAAATTAATTTTAAAAAAATAATATTCAAACATGATCATGTTATAACATACTCCAACTGAAATTTTTTATAATCAAAATAAATTATATTAATTAATTTTTTTATAATTAATTATATTAATTGAAATTTAAATGGGCACATAAATGTTGGTGAGAATCGAACTTCACGGTGCAATAGATAGCAAGTCTCTGTGTGTTTGTCGAGTACATGCATGTGGGGCACATGACAATTAAACTGTCACAATTTTTTGTGATGATTGGAAGGGCCTAACAATTCAATATGTTTACTATAACTTTTTGTAACTTTTGGAAAACCAAAAGTACAACTTTAATTATTATTTTCGGCCAACAAATTAATTTGGGTTACTGCTTCATTATACATAAAATACTAATTTATGTGTGTGAAGGACAATAGAATTTTTTTTTTGGGCCAAAAACCATAGAATAGTTTGCTTATTGGAAAGTGATCTTTTAATAGTTATTTTAAGTTACCCAAAATTTTGACTACGAAAAAATTCAGGTGAATTAGTCCTAAAAGTTCAACAAGATTATTAGTTATGCAAAATTTTATTAATTGAAGAAAATAGTGTTACTTTCTTTAAATAAAAAATAAAAAAAGATATTAAATAATACTTACTAAGAAGGTCTTACATTTCCTACATGGCTCAAAGTTCAAATTAGGTATAAAGTATAAACCACAAGCTTATTATATTATACTGCAAGTTTAATTCATTGTTCTTTGCTTTGGCTACAATATTCTCTTCCATTATTCTAATAATTTTAAGCCACTGCTTCATTACTATTATTGTTATTTTTGGTTTTGTTATTATTATTACTGCATTGATTATTGATTATTGCTGTTGAAAGAGTGATTATTATATAAAGTCTAAAACCCTAGATTCCTTCCCCATTGGACAAAGCAACAATCTAAAAAGCCTCATTAAGTGGAGCCAAAATCCCTTTGATTAAGGAAAGAGTCCCACTTTTCCTCTTTCCGCCAAAGGAGGAAAAAAAAAACACAAGACATTGTCCAAAATTTAAGATAAAAAGACTTAATGATGTTGTTAATGATTAAAATAACTTCATGAGTTCCAATGGTCCCAACTCCCGACAATAATATAATACAACCAAGCATTATCACAAATTTGGGGGTCAACTGCCAAGTTTGGTGGTGTCAATAGAAACTACTTGCAATTGAATATTTAGTTGGACTAGTGAGGAGATTATACCAATTTATGAGGAATAGCGAGCTTGAGCTTTGATAATGCAATATTATTGATGGAAGAGCTTCCACCCAAAAGAACATGCCCAAGATACTCATTGGGTTTTTTTTTTTTTTTGGTTGCCACAAAATACCAAATGCTTCGTTAAAAAACAAAGATAGAAACCTCTTCAACTAACTTGGTTTATATTTTGGTGGATGTGAAATAATATTTTTTTCAATGATTCAATCGTTTAATATACATAATTTTTAATTAAAA